CTGTGTGTGTGTTTCTCAGGAGCCAGACCCAACCAAGGCCACCCTAGCGAAGGTTGTCCCCATGCCCAACAATGGCTCACCGGAGCTGGTGCCCCTGCAGAGAGACGCGGTGAGAGAACCCAGGAAACATTATGCATTTGAGGAGCTTGTTTAGGGTTTATTAGTTAATTGATCGAAGATTTCATCAGGCTGTTTCTTGAAGAATTCCATGGTCTCAGCTTCCTCACCGTGGTTGCATAAACCACACTCCCACCACCCTTTGTGTAAGAAGGTGTTTGCTGTACTCTGGTTTGTGTGTTTCCTTTGACTCTGAAGAAGGCCAGTCGGTTGACTTTAAGGTCTTTGAGAATCTGAATGCTTGAATCAGGCCCCCCTTGTCTGTTCACTGGTGAAGAGATTCAGTGCCTCTGGCTTGTCCCTGCAGGACACTCCTTTTAAAATACAGCATGTGTCCTTGCATGGCAGCAGTGACGATAAAGTCAAGTCAACAGCAGGACTTGTATTAGGGGTTGTGCAGAGCAGTGCCTTCTTCCCTGGGAGGAGAAGGGTCAGATTCCCGTTGCACAGCCCTGCGATCCACACTGTCAAACACCCCTGTAGATCCACACCAGGTCTCGCCGTGTGCTGGGAGTGAGGTTCTGGGGGGAGAAGAGACCGGTCCGGGATCTGCAGGGGCGGGGGCGGGCGTTTGATCTGTTGCTTTGCTTGCGTGGCCCAGGACGAGGACGGCCGGGAGGTGATCTCGTTCGAGTTCCAGAAGATCCGCTACGTGTTCGCGGGCGGGGAGAAGAAGCGCTTCGCGCCCGTGGCGTTCCCCACCAGCCAGCCGCTGGGTTTCTTCCAGAACTGGAAGGGCTACCAGGAGGAGACCGAGCTGCGCGCCGCCGAGAAGAGATTCGGCTCCAACAGGTCGGTGCCGGGCCCGGGCCCGCGGCGTGGGGCTCCTCGGCAAGGCTGGGGGGCGAAGACGGATCAGACCCCTGTTCCGCGGCGCTCTGGTCCTCTCTGGGGTTTTACACCTGTTGGTCAGACTCCAAGTGCGTAGGAGTCCTAACCACTGCCGAGTTTACAGAATCGCCCAGGCTCCACGTTCGCAGAAGGCTGATTAGGTCCACGTTTAACAATATCATTCTGGTCCCCAGTGCACAGTAGTCTGATCCATTTCAGATTTTACCGTATAGGTCAGGCTCCAAGTGAAAAGCAGTCTGATCCGCTTCATATTTTACCAACCACAGTGCCCTTTTCTAGAAGCCGACACCAGGGGCTGGGGAGTTCAGGTTTGCTGCCTTGTCCTGATTATGAGCAGTCATGTCTATTAAGCTGTTATGTGTTTGCAATCCAGAGAAGACTGCTTGCTGAGTAGCAGCTGGAAATGTCTAATTCCAAAGGGGGGGTGGGACACGGCGGTGCAGTGGTTAGCATGGCTTCCTCACATCGCTGGGGCCACGGGTTACTGGGGTGCTGTCTGTGAGGGGCTTATATATTCCTCCGTGTTTACGTGGGTTTGCTCCGGGTGCCGGGTTTCCTCCCACTGTCCAAAAATTTCCTGGTAGCTTAATTGGCTTCTGGGAACGTTACCCCTGGTGTCAGTGTGTTTGTGTCTGTGAGTGTCCTGCACTGGACTGGCGTCCCATCCAGGGTGTACCCTGCCTTGTGCCCGCTGCTTGCTGGGACAGGCTCCAGCCACCCCATGACGTTCTACTGGATAAAGTGGTTAGAAAATGGATGGCGTGGGAGTGGACTGCACATTTGGCAAGACTTGCAGCACACAAAGTAGCTGAAACGCATCATACTTTGTATGGTGTTTCAAACTGGTGTATTTATCCATAGATGAATTCAAACTCTGGAAAGTAAAACCCGGAGCAGACAGTGTGACTGTGTCCTGTTGGCCGACCGTGCTGATCTCTGTGTTGTGCTACTAGGGCAGAGATGGTGGTGCCAGAATTCCTGGAGCTCTTCAAGGAGAGGGCCACTGCACCCTTCTTCGTCTTCCAGGTGAGGATGCACTGCACATGTATCTGTCCTGTCTCCTGTCTTCTAGAATCAGTGTCCGTGTCTTACCTGTGCAGGTGTGCAGGATCAGTGTCCGTGTCTTGCCTGTGCAGGTGTGTAGGATAAGTGCCCGTGTCTTGCCTGTGCAGGTGTGTATCTTCTCTTTCTGCCTTATCTGTGCAGGTGTGTATATTCTCTCTCTGTCTTACCTGTGCAGGTGTTCTGCGTGGGGCTGTGGTGTCTGGATGAATATTGGTATTACAGCGTCTTCACGTTGTTCATGCTGGTGGCTTTCGAGGCCTCTCTGGTTCAGCAGCAGATGAGGAACATGTCTGAGATCCGCAGGATGGGGAACAAGCCATACATGATCCAGGTGAGCAGACGTGCGGACAGTTCCTGGATCCCAGTTGCATCATTTGTACAACATGTTTAATGCTCTCTTACCATACATTTATAACAGTCTTACAGCATTCTTGTAATGCTCATACAACAGGTTTACAGCGTGCTTATAGCACTCCTGCAACAAGTTTACAGAATGTCTATGACATTCCTCCAGCAGTTGTACACCACGCTTATAACACTTTTACAGTAGGTTTACAGTATGCTTATTATGTTCCTATAACAAGTAATAAACACACTGTGAACACTTATACAGCAGATTTGCATCATGCATATAACCCTACAGTAGGCTTGTGGCATGCTTATAACATTGTATTAATAGGTTTACAGCATGATTATAACACTCCTATAAAACATTTGCAGCATGCTTGTAATACTCCTACAGCAGGTTTAAAGTGTGCTTATAACACAAGTAGGGAGCCGTGTCAGCATACAAAGACTGCAAAGGAACAAGTAAAGGTTTATTCCATGTTAAAAAGAGAAGAAAAGAAACAACATTTCAGTGTGTTTACTGCTGTAAATTTGTTATAGAAGATCCCTATAACAAGTTTACAGCATGCTTGTGACACTCCCACAACGTATTTAGCTTATAATACTCTTATAACAAGTTTATGGCATGCTTATAACACTCCTATATCAGTTTTACAGCATTTGTATAGCACTTTTAGTGAATGCTTACAAATCTTTTACCATGGGTTTGCAACAGACTTGCAAAATTCAGTAAAGAAACTGTAAAAGTAATTTCAGTTAAACAGTCACTTCAGATTGACACTTAAGATTCTCTCCATTTTTACAGGTGTACAGGAACAGGAAATGGAGGCCGGTGTCCAGCGATGAACTTGTACCTGGGGACGTTGTCTCCATAGGTACAGTTCCGTTGCTTTTCCTCACTTAGAGGATGATGCAAACGAGACCAGAACGGCGATGCCTGTGTGCTGATAGAGGGACATAGAGTGTCAGTGTAGTTTGTGCAGTGTGTGCGTATGGGTGCACAGTTAAATCAGAGTGTTAGCATATCAGTGCAGA